GGGAGGGAGGGAGGGAAGGAGGGAGGGAAGGAAGGAGGGTGGGAGGGAGAGGAAGGTCAAGTACGTGGTTTGAGCGTGTATGCCACGAAGGGGTCCACAACAAGGGAGAGAAGAGCCAACCACGAGTGAAACGAAGGAGGAGAGCCAGGTCGACGGGCGGGAGAAAAGGTGGCAAGGAGGGATGGACAACATACCTGCTCCGTTGCAGGAATCGCGTACTCGGCTTCGATCCTCTTCTTGACGTCCGCAATGGTCAGTCCTGCCGCTTCGGAAAAATCAAGGTCATCGATCTTAAACGGCATCCCAAAGTACACCAAAGTAAGTGAAGAAGAGGAGGAGGAAGGACCCCCCCCGACGGCATCGCCTTCCAGACCGGCTACTTCTTGAACGTCGACAGCGGTAGCCCCAGGGAAGGAGGCAGGAGACCAGACCAAGGCGAGCAGGGAGAGAAGGAAGAAGAGGTGGAGGGAGGGACGGAGCGGAGGGGAGCGCATGGTGGAGCTGGGTTGGCTGAAAGGAAGAGAAATCCTGGAATCTTCACCGCTGTAGGGGGAAATGCAAATCAAGCGTGGAACGTACGTGAGAGAGAAGGGAGGGAGGGCGGGAGGGAGGAGGGGAAGAAAGGAAGTACTTCAGGGGGGGTGGTTCTTGTGAAGAGATTGCGACAGCACGCACGCAGTCAAGATAAAAGCCGGCCAACACATAAAAAATATGAGGTCTTGCAGGCAACCGCCGACATCACGGACACACGATGATCCGCGTCGCACCCCTGAATGCACGTGCACGGCCCCTTCGTGTCCAATTTTCACACGCGAGAGGCATCTCGACAAAGAGATGGAGGAAACAGCGAGAGAGAGGGGCAAAGGGAAAGTCTACAACACCTCTAAAATAGAAGTCATCAAAAACCTTGCCCACGCTACGGCATGCGTCATGTGCCTCGCCACGCCGCACGTGGACGGTCATCCATCTGCCACGTCCATGATGTTTGGGTCATCACGGTGAAATGTGTCTCGGTCTGGAGAGGCAGAGAAGGGCTTCAGATCCACGCCATGGTCTGACCTCCCCCACGACGGCAATGCCTCATCGAAACCCTGTATCTCCACCATGCACACGCAGGCAGGGGTATAAGATAGCTGTATCCCACAGTGGTGGAGGATTTCTGTCTATTGTGGGCTCTCCTTGGTACTCGTGTGCCTCGCAGACGGGCGATTAATCATCAAATAACGGGGAAAAAACAGGCTTCCCTCCTTGACAACGACAGGCAAACAACCATTTCACGCACGTTCTCTCTGAGCTTTACATGCTTTCTTTTCTAGTCGGCCATCCGTGCGAGTAATTTTGGTATTGCACAAAGACCCGTCGACTAAACGGCAGGTAAAACTTGCTTTTCTATTAGTACACTGACCATTGAAAATATAGGCGACCGATTCCTCCGTATCCATCATTCCCAGCCAAGAGCAGACATGACCAATCTCATAAGACCTGTCGCTTTGGTGGATTTGGCGGCAGCCTTTGCCCGCATGGGAAGACCCTCGTCAAACCGGTAAGGGAGGGAGGGAGGGAGGGAGGG